AAAAGCAAAAGGGGAAGAATTCTCAAGTGTCTGGCCCATCTTCAGCATTGCCTAGTGCTTTTAATTCAACAGATTCTCCAAATGACACTGTTGTCAGCTCAAGTACCCCTTCTATGGAAAGTGCTTTCTCACAAATTCTGTCCATGCGTGAGATGCTAAATCAGGTGCTTGCCTTTTGTCCTAAGAGCATATGTACTTATATATGTTTAGTTTAGTGCACTTTTCATTTTGTTATGCCTCTATAATTGTATATATTTTTCTTCATTTTTTTGTTTTAATTTTAATTTACCTGTGTTGGTACTTAGTTTGACATATCCTCACTGTTCATGCATTAGCTTTTAGGTTATTCCATGTAATTATAATAGTTACTTTCATCATTCTCATCATTCATGAATGGTATCTTCGTACTTTTCCTTGTTCTATATGTGTCCTCTAACTTCCTTCTGCAATATTTCTTAGCCTGGCTGATTATCCTCCTGAAATCTGTTGGACAATTTTTTCAAATTCCATAATTTTGGTGGTTTTGTATGTGTTCATCTTCTGCAACTATTTTTATCAGAACTTTCATTAAGGAACTCCCTCCTCAAGTGGTGGAAGCTGATTTTCTTTTATATGCTTCTCTGTGTGGGAAGAGCATTCTTTACATCATTGAAATATGTCTTGTACTGAAGATATGTTAAAAGATGCTGACATTTCAACCGTCCTGCAGTTCTATTGATTTGATTACAGTACCAATCCAAACCAAAATAAAATAAAATACTCATGTAGTAATGCTCTTCGATATCTTATTCTTATGTGTTGTCTTTTTTCTCTGTTTGCTGTTCCATGTAGGTTCTGACTATGCAAAAAGAAACACAAAAGCAGATGGAAATGATGGTTGCTGTTCCAGTGACCAAAGAAGGAAGAAGACTTGAAGCTGCCTTGGGACGGAGCATGGAAAAATCTGTTAAGGCCAATTCTGATGCTTTATGGGCTCGTTTACAAGAAGAGAGTGCAAAACAGGAGAAGTCTCTCCGTGATCGTACACAACAAATTACCAATTTGATCTCTAACTGCTTAAACAAGGACATGCCAGGTCTGATGGAAAAATTAATGAAGAAAGAGCTAGCAGCTGTTGGACAAGCTGTAGCACGCAGTATTACCCCTACTATTGAGAAAACAATATCAGCTGCAATTTCAGAGGCATTCCAGGTTATTATTATGAAAATCTGAAGCTTTTCTTGTCTGGATTTGCTTGTGCTTGACTGAATGTTATGGTGCAGAAAGGAGTTGGTGACAAGGCAGTGAACCAACTAGAGAAATCAGTAAACTCCAAACTTGAAGCTACTGTAGCTAGACAAATCCAAGCACAATTCCAAACCTCTGGCAAGCAAGCTCTTCAGGTGAGCTGAAAGTTTCTGATTGAGCAGTGCCAGTATTGTGTACAACAACATTTTTCTCGCAATGTCGTGCTGCTCATGTTTTTTCTTAATGTATGGTTTACGATTTCTAGTTACTCTTGTCATCTATGATCATATTGCACTAAGAGTGCCACTTCATGATCCTCTCAGTTTGCTTCCCTTCCTGCTGCCCACCTCACTTTAGGTGGATACTGTACTCCTCAAATAAATGTTGAATGTTTCTTATCTGATGGCATTGTAACTGTCATGCAGGAAACACTGAAATCTACTCTGGAAGTCTCAGTGATCCCTGCCTTCGAGATGTCATGCAAGGCAATGTTTGAGCAAGTAAATTCAACATTTCAGAAAGGCATTGCTGACCACACGGTTGCTGCACAACAGCAATTTGAGTCCGTGCATTCGCCTTTGGCAATTGCTCTAAGAGTACGGACCTTTACATTTTGATTAATCCTTTTGTTTGCTTGCTAATCTTTTGTTGAACTGTTCTTTTTCTGCTCTTACTTTATCTAAACTACATCAATTAATCATGCCTTCAAAATGCAAAGTTGGTTGACTAAGGTATAGCCCTTTCACTTCCTGTGTTGACTTATTTCTCATTCTTTACTGTGTTTTGAATTCAGCAAGTCACCTTTTCTTCTTTGGATCTCTATAATACCATCTTTAGAATTTGTTTGGTGTTCCAAGAAGTTGAAAACCAAACCCATCAAAAAGTTTGGGGCACACGTTTTTTAGTTGTTTAAATCCTGTAATCTATACTTTATAGTGAGCTATGTTGCTCGGACTCTTCAAAAATGTCAAGAGGTGCGTGTCGGATTCGCCAAAAGTAGTGTATTTTTGGAGAATCAGACACGGGTGCGGCATCGAAAGTGAAGAGTCCGCGCAACTTAGATAGTGAGTATTCTTGACTCAGTTATCGTGTTTTTGTTCACTTTTATTTTTTATTACAACATATTAAATGGCCACTCGCTGATTTAAATATACACACTCAGCTCCCCCAAATAGATTGCCTTCCTTCCACTTTACTCTGTCCCAAAGTGGTTAAAGAAAATGTCCATACAATTAATCTATCACAAAAGGATGAGTTGTGCCCACTTTTTACTGTCCTCATTTATCAATGCCACTTTTCACTGTTATTCTCCAAAAACAAGCATCCAATATATTACACAGCTTGTTTCATTATCCTCATTTCTCAATACAACTTTTCAGTACACCTTATGTTTCTGAAACAAGACAAATCACTTGTTCCTCTCATGTTAATAGTTGAGTGGAGTTAACTAATCTTCTCAAAATGGGAAGGGGGGAGTGGTATCTTTGTTATGTGTACATCTATTTATTTTTTTCCTAACAGATAATTAAATTTGTCTTTGTTCATGTGGAAGTTTTCTTTCTTGTTTCCTCCCTCCCTGCTTCCATACCTGGTGAATGTGTTGATGTGATTTTGCATAGACTCTGAGATATTTAAATTATGGATATATTTCGGAAGTGACTGGAATCACATCCTCCTTAAAATTAGATACTCATTAGACTCAATTGTCAGGATGCCATCAATTCAGCATCGGCAATGACACAGACATTGAGCGGAGAGCTTGCTGATAGTCAGAGACAGTTGCTTGCTCTTGCAGTTTCTGGAGCAAATTCCCAATCAGCAAATCCACTCAACCACATGAATAATGGATCATTGCTACATGAAAAGGTTCTTCCCATACCTTAGTGGATCAAAGAGTTAGCTGCTCATATTTTGATATTAGGAATTTACTACTTATTACTTTTTGTTATTAAGAATTTGCTACTTATACTTTGCTATCACCCTCTTCTTCTTTTTGTCTTACTTACTTTGATATCATCATGTTTTTATGTCTGCAATATAGATTGAGACACCTCCAGATCCAACCAAAGAGATATCTAGACAGTTGGGGGAGCACAAGTATGAGGAAGCATTCACTGCAGCATTACAAATGAGTGATGTGTCAATTGTGTCATGGTTATGCTCTCAGGTATACTGTTTACATTGGCACTTACTTATAGGGTTATCAGGTAGATCCCCGTTTCTGAGGAATATTGTTTTAAGGGGAATAAAAGAGACCAATAAGATCCAGGAAAAGAGGCACAGTTAGGGGAGAGAGAAGGAAGTAAATGGGGCATCTTAATGGTGTTAATGTTTTTGTACAAAAATGAAAAACTTAGTTCTGCCATTAGTTTAGAGCATACTTTTACCTTGTCCAATTAAAAGTTTTTACCTTAAATCTGTGTTCATTGACATCAAATAAAATTGGGACGATACAGAGAAGAAAGTTCTTTTACCTCAGAACCTATCCAAAGAATTTCAAATTTCTGTTGTAATGAATTTTATGTGCTTGCATTTAATTCTTGAGATATGTAATGGGGATTTGTAGGATATAATGATCTTCCTGATTTTTGTTGCGCTAACAAAATGACGATGGCATTCTGTGGTAGGGTGTTATTCCTGACCGTTTCCTGGTGTCTTATGCCAGGTTGATTTGGCTGGGATTTTATCCTTGAATCCCCTCCCTTTGAGCCAAGGAGTGCTCCTTTCACTTCTTCAGCAGTTATCATGTGGTATTAGCTCAGAGACAGTCCAAAAACTCTCTTGGATGAGGGATGTGCTATCTGCCATAAATCCAAATGACCCACTGATCGTAGTGCATGTACGGCCCATCTTTGAGCAAGTATATCAGATGTTACTACAACGCAGAAACAGTGCTACCACGCCTCCTGCTGAACTTTCAATCATCCGGCTTCTTGTGCATGTTATCAATTCGATGCTGATGGCTGTTAAATGATGATATCAAGAGCAATATCATATTTGGTGAATATAGAAAAAGCCTGTACAAATCCCAGAGGATTTCATGGAATGGCTTCAAGTCGTAACCGGAGAATTGAAGTGTACACCAACCTCCAATTATCTCTCTCCTTTTATTCAACTCTTTCTAGATAAAATCTGTAATCATTTTGCCTGAATTCTCAAGTTGTAGAGACTTAGCAAAAGAAAAAGAAAAAAAAAAGGAATTTTCAAGTTGTAGAGTTGGGTGTTTTTGGATGTTGAATATTACAGAAATTTTGTGCTTGTACATTGTTACTTTATTATATTGCAATTTCATTTCAAGTGGGAACTCATAACTGTCATTCTTCTAAAGTTTTTCAATGTGCAAGGAATAGCTCCTTTTTATTGTAAGCAAATGCTTTTATTAGATGTGTATCTTACTTGCTAAATTAAGTTTATTAATAATGTTTTGAAATTCTAAATTTTACTGGTACTATATACAACCTTTCCACCTTAGACTTCTTTCTTTACAATCAGTCTATGCCTATTTTCATTTTCCAGCGTATGAATCCTACTATTTCGGAGTAGATTCATAACCTGAATTGTGAGTCATGGGCCAGGACCTGGAGCGTGAATGAATCTTCCGAGGAGGAGTTTGATGGGTTGGAAGGGCCCGAAAGAGGAAGTGGCTGCCCTCCTTTCGAAATAACACTCAAAACAACAAAAAAAAGAAGAAAATTCTGGTAAATGATAGAAAATCGGTGCGTAGAGCTGATTTGCCTGCAATCTATCCTCCATATATGGAATTAACACAAGTATTTGTTCCTCAAACAAGAAAATTTTCTCTCTCTTTTTTTTTTTTTTCATTTTTGCCAATGGCTCAATTACAGACAGAGAACAAAAAAGGAACAAAAAAAAATGAAAAGCAGGATGTAGTATGTACATATAAGCTAAATCTCCATCTAAATGCCATTTGACAAAAAAAATACAGCGGAGAAATGTAGGTCCCTAATCATCATCTCCTATCACCAGCATTGATCCGTTTCCCATCTCCGGGTCGGGTATATACGAAATCCATCAACCGACCGAGCAAAACCTCGCCGGCGAGAGCCCACGCTCAGCTTGAGATCGTATAGAGCTCTAGCTGAAGGATCAGATAGCGTAACATAAGCATCGTGAATCTCAATGAAATCCCGTCCGTCGGACGATTCCTCCGGTAGAGAAGCAGAGTCAGGATGATACAATTTCGCTAAATTCCGGTAAGCAGCCTTAATCTCTTTCGGTGATGCGTCTCTTTTAACTCTTAACACCTCATATAAACTCACCGATCTTCTCTCCATCATCATCGGAGCCTCGGCAACGGCAGATGCACATATTGTCCCCCTCCGATTACTCTTTCCGATGAACAAACTGCGGCGATTAGATCCGACCGGCGCGGCGGCGGAATAGGATGATTTATGAACGGAAAAGGGGAAGGGAGATGAAGAAATTAGGTTTAGGGATTGAATCATTTCAAAAAAATTTTAGGATGAAAGAGAAAAGTGAGAAAGAGGATTATATATAAAGCTAAAAAGTCTAAAAAGAGGGAATCTTTAAACCGAGGACGGCGGGCGTACCCACCGATTTTTTGTTTAAGAAATACAGTTGGAAAATGAAAGACTGTGTGCTGATTAGGCATTTTTTAATTCTTTTTTTGTGTTTTTTTTTAATCTTCTAGAAGATTGAGAGCTTTTTGTTTATTAAGCTTCTATAAGATTTAGAGTTGTAGACTTGTTGTAGTGGTAGTAGATGTAGAATTTCTATCATATGTTGTTGAAGTGGTATAAATTATGGACTTTACTACACAATGCTTGACGTACAAGGACAACTAGTGTTGCTATTTTCTATTATATACTTCCTAAAATTAGGGATTAACATAGAAAAAAATATTGTGTCTTTGCGAAAGAACGAATCAGATTGTGGTATATGATTAAATTAAAACAAAGCTATTTAGCATTGATTCGATAAAGTTTTACCATAATTGGGCAGCTTGCGAGATCAGCCTCTCCCCGAGGGCAAGCCATCCTACGACTCAAGGCGACACTCTTAGAAAGATCAATAATAAATTTCGAGTCTGGTGTCAACCTGTCTCCAATTGAGCCTAATGTCATAGCTTAGGCAAGTGCCACTAGTTTATGTATAGCCTTTTAGTGCTAAGCATATTGTCTTTAACACTAAAGTGACGATTCAATTTTTTGGCCTATAAAAACATCCTATTAGAAAAATAGAAGGCATCAAAACATTCCAGAGGTCATCCTTCTTATGTTTTCTTCGAAAAGAAATGAAATTGATCATCGACTTTAACTCAATGCCTTTAACCCCATTTTATAAATTTTACTGCTAATCAAACTGACAATTTTTTTGATAAACAATTGCTCTCAAAAAGAAACGGAGGTGAAACTAAGTTCAAAGAAGTCAAAAATATACCTTAGTGTGTCAAAATACAACAAAACTCTATCCAACTCAAAACAAATTCTTTTTACAATTGGGGTCAAAGTTTTATCTTCAAGTAACTGAATACTTTTACTTGAGACTTCCAAATGACTCATTGACTTGTCAAAACTACAATTTTCAATCATGTTAAGATAAGTTTTGAATGATCATTTTGGACTCTTAACCAATTTTGAATCATATCATTTAATACTTTGAAAATTGGGGAGGGGTGGGGGACAATGCTTCTAGATAAAAAAAAAATTGGAGAAAAGTCATTGTCATTATTCATTAATTGGTACTATACGTCTACTTTTTTTTTTTTTTTTCTAATCTAAAATTGGGTTTGTACTTTGAAGGTTGGATAGGTCTTCATGCACTACAAATTGCTTTCAATTATAAGATAAGCCTTTTAGAAACCTTTTCCTTTAAACCATTTCTTAAACCACTAAAATTAGTAATATTATCACATGTCTTTGTAATAGTTGTGCTTTACCACTATCTCTCCCAAATTTTTTTTAAAAAAATCTTTCCTTAATTAGTAGAAGATCATCCATTGATTAAAATTTTGATTCATCACGCCTCATGTGAAAATAATAACCATCGTGTCTTCCACCAAATCAAATTCCTCACTAGTAAATACTATCTATATGAATATTTTTTTAGTTGTGTCTTATATCTTGCTAAATGTTTTAGAAGTTTTGCTTAGATTATGCAAGTCAAATACCATCACATAGATTGAAAATAAAATAATATTAAATTATGTGACTATCATGATTTCGAAAATTACCTCTCTATCTGCACAAAGTGATCGTAAAATTTGCATGACCTTACTTGATTAAATTTCACTGTTGTTATCATAATACACCTTATTCATTTTTTATTTTTTTTAAGATAAGCCTTATATGAATTATATGAATAAGGGATAAAATTGTCAAATATGTATTTACTCATATCCTCAAAGGAGACTTTTTGTTTCTAAAAAAAAATTAAAATTCCATTGGATCCTCAAAAGCAGGATAAATTGGAAAAAAATAAAATACAGGATATATACATATCTAATCTCCAACTAATAAAATGCCATATACAGTGTTTACGCGGCAAAGTGGGTCCCCTAAATCCTAATCATCTGACATCACCAACACTGATCCGTTTCCCATCTTCGGGTCGGGTAAAACTCTGACCCATTCATACGAATTCCATCGCCGGAGCTCCCAAATCCTTGTCGGCCGGAGCTCATGTTTAACTTGAGATCGTACAGATCCCTAGAAACAGGATCTGATAACGTAGCATAAGCTTCGTGAATCTCAATGAAATGCTGGCCGTCGGAAGATTCCTCCGACAGAGACGCAGCATCGGGATGGTATAGCTTAGCTAAATTCCGGTAAGCTGATTTTATCTCTTTCGCTGACGCATTTGATTTTACCCTTAGCACATCGTAGAGACTCGCCGGTGTTTTTCTTCGCAATACCGGCGGTGCCTCCGCAACGGCGGCGGCATATACCGCTGCTGTTCCATTATTCCTTCGGGGAAATGTGACTCCGGATCTGAAACCGGCGGTGGAAGAAGGAGGGCTGTGAAGAGAAAAACGGAAAGTATTTCCGGCCGGTAGAGTTAGCGATTGGACCATCGGAAAATGATTTTTTTTCAGTAGAGTGAGATGAAGAAAGTTGTGAGTTACAAATTTATAAGAGAAGGTCAGATCTGTTTTTATATAGATATTAAGCACCCACCGTTTGTTTCTATTGGTTTACAGTTGGAACTTAAAAGACTGTGTGCTGACTATGCATTTTTTCCTTTGTACTCATCCATTGGTTAGCCTCATTCAGGTGTCAAATAGACGAGTTGGATTGATTTCGTATACCAAATAAATTGAGTGATATTGAGTTTGATTTTATCATTTCGAAAGTATAATTGAAATGCATGATTTAAGTCAAAATTATTGAGTTTAGCTGAGTACAAACCCTGTAATTTAGTAGTGGGATAAAGAATATGATTTCATTATTAATAAACGTTTTAACATGCGATATGAAATTATGATTTCAAATTAATATTTGAACATGTATTTGTGATCATAATTTTAAATCTAAATTAAAATTATATGTCTAAATAAAGCTTTAACTTTTCATTTATGTAATTTTAAATTATGATTCCATATCATATGTCTAAACAAGCCCTTAATTAGAAGTCTTGAATTCGAGTCATCTTTGACAAGTAATGTTTTACCTAAAAAGTGAATCTTTTTTCGTACGAATTAAATTAATCGAATCTCAACACAAAAATAAAAAAATACATTGGTTAGCTTGGGATATTGTAACTTTAGCAACACTACAAGAGAAGTAGTACATACATATTAACTTGAAATCGATGAATTTTTAGATTTTAAATGTTGAATGTAGGAATTTGGAACATTACAAAACTGTGGTCTCAAAGCTCATAGTTAATGATGGTCATTTCTAACGTGACAATTCTTCTAGAAGCATTTCCCTTTTTATTTTTTTAATAATTTTTTATAGCACTTCCCTTTCACCACACAAAAAACACACAATTTGGTGAAATGTCACTATTCTTCATTTGACTATTACCGTCCCCTTCAATTTTTATACAAATCTCTTTTCGTCTCGAGATTCGATGTCCGATATTTATATTGAGATTTGATAAATATAGATTTGTATAAAAAAAAATTATGTTAAAAATAAAGCGTGCTTTAATAAATGTAATTCTATAAGTAGGAATGTAGGATTTGAATCCCAAACTTTTAATTAGTGGTGAAATAATACTTATCATTCAATATTTCCACATGTACTATACCTTCTAGAAACATTTTCCCGAACGATTATTAAATTCTAAGTATAGTAAATAATTCATATAACACGACTAAAATTTTGTAGTTATAAATTATATAATGTGTCAACAACAGTTGTGCTCTACCATTACTTCAAATCTTTCTTTTATTTTTTTCCCTTCAACTTGGTTGAAACTGACCATTTTTTTAATTTCTTGAATTAGATAACGTTATGCATCACATTTCTCTATAATAATAAAAATAGATACTCCTACATTTTAAATTTTTGCTGGTCTTTGATTGTTATAGTTGACATGTCTTGCTGAAATCAGTCTATTTATTGTTCTTTTTTGGATTTAAATCATAAAATATGAGCCATTTGATGACTCAAATATATATAACTTGAGCCCACATTTAGATGGGTTTTATATCTATGAGCCCACTTAAGGCAAATGGATGAGGCTTTGGCATTGAATTGTTCAACATATTTGTGTAAAATCCATAATTTAAGAGGCAAGGTTATAGTAAGGATCAAAATAGAGCCCATAGATCACATTATAAATGGATGAAATTCAGCTACATTATATTTGTTTGAAGCTTGTATTGTTAAAAAACTTAAATTGCTTACTCCCTCGATTTCTTTGTCTTACTTTCAATTTTAGTTTGTTAAAAAAAATGTCATTTTTTTCTTTTTGACAATTCTTTAATTTTAACTTTCGACATGACATGCTTAAAACTACAAGATTAAAAGACATTTTGATACATCTATATATCTTTATTTTGAAAGCACAAGATTAAAAAATCTTTTTTTAAAACTTCTAATCAGGTCAAAACCAAATAAATAAATTGAAAAACGATAATTTTATTGGAAAATGCTTGAAAGTTGAAATTGCAAGCAGATGATTCACGTAACCATGATTGCATCTGCCATTATCACATAATTGTGGCATTATTTGCGAAAAAATAATAATGGAGGAGATGATTATTGGTTTAACATCTAATGTAATCATATGTTTCTCTTGATTGAAATGGAGAAATCAATTGTTGGACAACAATTGTTATTCATTTCAATAAATAATATTTCAAATCAAAGTGTCAAATAGACAATCAAATTAAATCGAGTATAAATAAATGAATTAATAGCCTTACATGCTTAATTCTTACTCGATATAAAAGATAATTCCATCTTATACCCCCTATTAGAACATAAATAGCATGTTCGAACTAGTTTGGAATTCTTCTAACTTCTTCGATCATGTTTTGAAGCTAAAAATACTTTGAGAAATTCGTTGATAATTTACTATTTTTAGTGGACTCTCCTTTTGTATTTGTGTTTTGTTTTATAAAATCATTAAAAAATGAAGGAAAAAACAAATATTCTCGGTGGACTTAATTGATTATTTGACAGGAATTTTGATTAGTTAGATTGAATGAACAATATCACAGGGTAATTAAACTTAAATATACACACAATAACAATGAGAAAATCCTACTATACTTCAATAAGACTTAATAAACAATATTTATTATTTCTCAATTATCAAATTTTGGAGTTTTCAACTTAGAAACAAGAAATTAGGATTATCTTAATTTTTCGTGTGTATTAGTTCATGTATTTTTTAAATATGAATAAAAGACTCTTTAATTTTAAATTTTGTGAGTCCATTTTGAACGATCTAGTGAAAGTTTCTCTTTGCCTTTGCATGACCGATGTTACTTTCTTTTTGAGTTTTGGGGATCACAGAATAGAAATTCAAGATTATCCTAACTTTTCATGTGTATTAGTCCATAAATTCTCTAGAATATGACTGACAGAATCCATTTGATCCCAAATTTTATAGGTCAATTTGAAACGACCTAGTGAACTATTCTCATTATTTTTCAATGACCAACGTCACTTATTTTGGAGTTTTCATGCCTCGAAACAAAATCTAAGGACTAACTTCCCGACTTCGTTTAACCTCAATTGTGGTCTGTAGAACCATTCGTGACAACCTAGTGAATGATGTTCATTGTTTTTCAAGGATTGTCGTTGCTTTTATGGAGTTTTTGAGTCACGAAATAAAAAATCAAGATTATCTCAATTTTCGTATATATTAGTCCATAAATTTTCTGAAATATGATTGACCGACTTTGAGCCTAAATTTTGTAGGACCTAGAATTATTCTCATTATTTCGGACTAGTATCCGAGCTGTCGATGACGTGTTTATGTCAAAATCATATCAAAGCTGACGTGTCTACAATGTAACTTATCTTTCATAGTTTGTTTGTTCATTCAAGTGGCTTGATGCATCTATTATTGACACATCATATACAAGTCATCACGATATGAATGGAATTATTAGTCAAAAACAAAGAAAATTTACTTCACAAAATTACATGATAATAATTAAATCGACCCTACATTTGTTGCACCCCGTGATATCTCTTCTTTTTTTTTAAATAATATTTTTGGTGTATTTTATGAGTACGATCTAAAAAGAAAAAATGAAAACAAAATATAATGAAAAAATACTACAAAAACCATATTAAAACATTTTGAAAAAGGAAGAAAGGATAATAATCGAAGTATAAAAAACTACATGCTTAATATTATGACAACTAGAATGGAAGGATAAGATTTAATTACCTAAAAAAATAAATGAATTGAATTATTTTGAAGATATTTCCATTTCATTATGTTGCTTCCTACCATAAAAAAGGAAAAGTATAAGGAAAAAAATTGAGTAATATAAAATAGAAAAAATCCAACATTATTTTTTGTGAAGATCAAGAAATTTTATAATAAAAAATCCAGATTGGATCATACTGAGCAACTAGTCCCCCACCTACGCAATACCTATCAGTCTCATAATAAGTGTCATTTTAATAAAAATTACGTTCATTAAAAATAAATAAAAGATAATACATAATAAATCAATGAAAAATAAATACTATTAAAAAAATTGAAATAAGTGTATAGTTAAAAAAATATACTTACTTATTTTTACTTGAATATACAAAATGACACTTATTTTAAAACGAGATTTGATTCTAACGTAGCCTAAAATATTCTGTATAAAAGGCACAAAATCCGGCTATTATATTAACCTCCCAAGCTTTTCTATTCTCCACTTTTCTCAGCTCCAATTTTTTTATACATTTTTTTCAATTACTATACAAGTTTTGATCTCGTCATTGCTTATTCTTTGTGGGGTTTTTGAGATTTCTTGTTTTTTTTGGTCTTAGAAAGATAAAGATCATATTATTTTTCATTTGGGTGTTTTCTTGTTTGGGTAGTTTTGTTGGTTATAGAAAGAAAAAAGATGACAGTAGGAGCAGGAATTTGTGTAGCTGAAAGGAAGCTTAATGTATTGGGGCAAAGCATTCTAACTGATGTTGATGAAAATATTATTGTTAGTCAGCCAAATGGTGAAGCTTTCACTAATGGGGCATTTCTTGGTGTTAACTCAGACAGAGTTGGTAGTCATAGGGTCTTCCCTATTGGCAAACTACAGTATGTTCTTCTTCTTCTTCATAGTTATTTTCTCTGTCTGGTTTTAATTTTTGAATTTTTGTTTATGAATCTAAGGGTTCTTTGATGATAATGGTATTTTTTGTTTTTCACTTCATTTTAAGGTATCCCCTGTGTTTTATCTAAGTGTTTGAGATTGTTTGGAGTTCTTATGTAAAGATTGCATTTTTGTTGTAAAGATTGTATTTTTTTGTTGTAAAGATTACATTTTTGGTTTTTGGTTCTTTGATTTTCATGTGAGGTTTTACTAGGAAGTTATTTACTTGTTGAATGCTTGATTATGGTTTGTAGAGGATATTGTGTATTAACTTCATTAAAGACTTTCCATGTTCTTTATCTAAGCTAGCGTTTAGACAGATTTTGAAAAAGTATCTTCAAATAGCTGTTTGGCCATGAAATTTGATCTTCAAATGTTTTCTAGTTCCCAAAGCTTGATATTTAACTCACTAAACTTCAAAAAATAAAAACGTTCAAGTCAAATGCATGTGCAAACACAACTTCAAAAAATAAAAATTTCAAGTTTCAACTTTAAAATCTACGGCCAAACGGGAGAAATGTTGAGAATCCTTGGGAGTTTTGAAGTACAATTTGCAATTTTTTGGTTGTAATGATTGTGTTGTGATTTTTTTGGTTTTAACAAGGAAATTATTTATGTGTTTGAATGGTTTGCAGAGGATTGAGATTTATGTGTGGTTTCCGGTTCAAGTTATGGTGGATGACACAGAGAATGGGTACATCTGGCCAAGATATACCATTTGAGACTCAGTTTTTGATTGTGGAAGGAAATGATGGTTCAAATTTTGATCAAGACAACCAGCAAAATTCAGCATTGTATGTTGTTTTCTTGCCTATTCTAGAGGGAGATTTTAGGGCTGTTCTTCAAGGGAATTCAAACGACGAGTTAGAGATATGTCTGGAAAGTGGTATGGATATTACGATCTCCATTGATACATTTTGGATCTTGTCGTATGGTCTTTACCAATTTTCGTGATGCTAATGATGATGGTTGATTGCAGGAGATCCTGCTGTGCAAGATTTCGAGGGAAGCCATTTGGTTTATGTAGCAGCTGGACCAGACCCTTTTGATGTCATTACTAATGCTGTCAAGTATGTTTTAGTCCTTTCTTTCATGGTTTCCATTCTTGAAATTTCCTTATTCAAATGTTCAACTCATTGTCCTCTCATAACTATAGAGTCATCCTATAGATTTCATATGTTGCACCAATTTGATAACCGTACCATAGACATTTTGCCTTTCTGAAATGGTTAAAATACTTTATCAACACAGGACGGTGGAGAGGCAATTACAGACATTTTGTCACCGTGATAGAAAGAAGGTACTTTTTGAATGTCTTCTGATTTCTGCAAGTGCCATTGACATCATAACTTTTGAATATATGTAACTGTGTGTCTTTGTCATGATTCAGATGCCAGACATGTTGAACTGGTTCGGATGGTGCACGTGGGATGCTTTCTATACAACCGTTTCTTCAGAGGGAGTGAAGCAAGGACTAGAGAGGTAATCAACTTCAATTTTTAGATACTGATTAACATTCTAAATTCCTGCATTGCATAGGGTGCTGAAACTTTTACGTCTTTTGCAGTTTGGAGAAAGGAGGTATTCCCCCAAAGTTTGTACTCATTGATGATGGATGGCAATCAGTGAGTATGGATCCCAATGGCATCGAATCCATTGCTGATAACCATGCAAAGTGAGTAGATGGAAAACAAGTAATATCATCATCATTGTTTAGCAACCCCTTAAAACGTTCTGATCGTTCTTTGGTCGTTTTCAGCTTTGCAAACAGGCTAACTCATATCAAAGAGAACCATAAGTTTCAGAAAAATGGAAAGGAAGGTCATAGGGTTAACGATCCTGCAATGGGACTTCGACATGTTGTTACCAATATCAAAGACCAACACAATTTGAAGTATGTGTACATGTGGCATGCACTTGCTGGTTACTGGGGTGGTGTGAGACCCGGGGTCCCTGGGATGGAACACTACGAATCCAAGTTATCTTTCCCAGTTTCATCTCCCGGGACTGAGTCACAGGAACCTGATGATGCTTTGAGCAGCTTGATAAAGAACGGTCTTGGTCTAGTGAACCCTGAGAAAGTTTTATACTTCTATAATGAACTGCACTCATACCTTGCTTCTGCGGGTATAGATGGGGTTAAAGTAGATGTTCAGAACATCCTTGAAACACTTGGAGCTGGTCATGGTGGAAGAGTAAAACTCGCAAGAAAGTATCATCAAGCATTAGAGGCATCTATTGCTCGAAATTTTCCTGATAATGGAATTATTTCATGCATGAGCCATAGTAATGATAGTTTGTTCAGGTAATTTTTTCTTGCTCACCCTCTCTTTCTTGCTTGTAATTGTTATAAGCTGAATTAGTTCTAAGAAACCGATAATTATTGTGATGAGATACTAGATACTCGTACCATATTCTGATTCATTTTACTTCTCTTTCGTTGTGTAGTGCAAAGCGTTCAGCTGTTATAAGAGCATCAGATGATTTCTGGCCACGAGACCCTGCATCACACACAATTCACATAGCATCAGTGGCGTACAACACCATTTTCCTTGGTGAATTCATGCAGCCTGATTGGGATATGTTTCATGTGAGTTGATGATATGAATCTCAATTTCTTAGTATACTTCCCAACTTATCAAAAAAAGGTTTAACTCACTAAAATGCTTGTAATATGTTAGAGTGTGCATCCCATGGCTGAATACCACGGAGCAGCACGAGCAGTTGGAGGCTGTGCTATTTATGTCAGGTACTGCTTATATATACCTTAAAAACAGCTAGTTATCTGGTTTATGATCCAATTTTCGTTAATATTTTCTCATCGCTGCCTATTTGCAATGTAGTGACAAGCCTGGACAGCACGACTTTAATCTTCTAAAGAAGCTTGTACTTCCAGATGGTTCCATATTACGCGCCAAACTTCCAGGAAGGCCAACTAGAGACTGCTTGTTTTCTGATCCAGCAAGAGACGGGATAAGGTAATTGCTTGATCAGATACATTTTCAACTGTGATGTATTTTGTAAAAAATGTACATTAATCTCACTTATGTATATGCAGTCTTTTGAAGATTTGGAATCTCAACGATTTCAACGGAGTAATCGGTGTATTCAACTGTCAAGGTGCTGGATGGTGTAAGGTTGGCAAGAAGAATCTAATCCACGATTGTCAACCAGGGACGATAACTGGGATTGTTCGCGCTATTGATGTCAATTACTTACCAAGGATTGCTCATGATGGATGGACTGGCGATGCCATTCTGTATTCTCATCTTCATAGTAAGCTGTTTTAATCACTTCTATTACCCCTATTCTGCATTTTGCTGACCTGATTGTAACCAATGCAGGGGAATTGATCAATCTTCCTAAAAATGCTTCGATTCCAATCACTCTAAACGCGAGAGAATATGAAGTCTTTACAGTTGTTCCAATCAATGAAATGTCTACAGGATCAAGATTTGCTCCGATTGGTCTTGTGAATATGTTCAATTCAGGAGGAGCAATCAAAGAGCTGAAGTATGAAACAGAGGGAAAATGTGGATTAGTTTCCATGAAGGTTCGCGGATGTGGAATGTTTGGTGCTTATTCATCTGGGAAGCCTAAACGAATACAAGTTGACAATGAAGAAGTACATTTTGATTACGACGAATCCTCTGGATTAATCACCATTAATATTAGAGTTCCTGATGAAGAATTATACCTTTGGGATGTAAAAGTTGAAATGTGAAAAGTGCAAGATGATCATAAATGGATGAATTGAAGACTTGTGAACTAAGTCTCTCTTTTCCAGTTACTCAGAGTTTTTAACTTTAGAGAGCAGTGTCTGATTATTATTTAAATTTTGTTACATCATAAGGTAACATGGCGAAAACTCTCATTTTATATGATAACTGATTTTGGTCTGATCATATTGTTACCTTAATATATTTTTTTAGTTTAATCGTTATTTATTAGTACTTAACAATCATATTTTATCTTCTTTTTTTTTATAGTAATTCTATCCTATGCTCTATTTTTTGGTAGATTTACTATTTATATGTGATCCAAATATAATCAGATAACATATATTGCACTGGATAAACAATGAAAGTATGCTCTATAATGCCACGATAACTTCAAAAAAAAATCGACTCTGTTTGCGATGCACCACGTATAGAAAAGTATCAGACACGTGCCCTGTTTTCATAAATCGTCCAAATATGGAACATAATATATGATCAGATAATCATTATACAAGTGTTGAGAAAAAAATATTATGGCTGAAAACAGGGAAATGATGGCGGTGAATCCGACCCGAAAGACGAAGATTTGGGCAACAATAGCTGGAATTGCAATTGAAGCCCCAATTTTGGGGTTAATGGGTTTTAGTTTACTTAGTTCAATTATACTTTTGGTAGTAACTTCTCCGTTGCTAGTTATATTTAGTCCTCTGTTAATTGGTGCTGCTGCGGTGTTTGGAGTTGCTATGGCGGGATTTGGGGTGGCCGGAGTTACGGCAGGTTTAGGATTGTCGTCGTTTGTTTTGGGGTATAGGTCGGTAATTAAAGGTAGAATTACGGGCGGAGAGTATGGCGGCGGTGCTGATGATGCGCCGGTTATTGTGGATAAAATGATTCAACCAGCGGAGACGGAGGAGGAGGAGCATGACACTGAAGTGGCAGGTATTTTGAAGCATATTTTAATTTGATGGTTCCATAATTATATTCGTGTAGCTACGATAGAAGCTTAGTAGGTAGTTAAGCTGTCTCCCTTTTTGGTGGGATAGGCTTGGTGCTAGTTTGGTGCATTGTATACTTGTAGTATCATTTTTCTCGTAGTTGCCTATGGTCCTCGTTTATTGTGTTGCATTATTTGGTTATTCTTCCTTCACAAACAAGAAGATAAGGGAATGTACGGTCTTTGTACACTTAAATCTTTTTAGACCCCGCATATGGGGTGGTTGTATATGCTAGTTTTTTTTATCCCAACTTGGTACTTGGGTGAGGTTTTAGTAAATTTTCACATATATATGCTAAACCGTTTCAATTTCAATTCATATGATAAAGAAAGTAGTTGGGTAACGCCAATATGCTGAGCGCTGGCTCGAAATAAAGTCATGGTCGAACATGATGCTTGGTTCCAAGCATTTAATCCCCAATAAGTAAATATTAGAGCCAAGGTGTGGCAGGTCTTGATCCTAACAACATCAACACTTTTGAAACTTTTTAGTCATAAAGTATTAACATTGATGGGACAGTCAAAACTGTTGAAACTTATGATCTTATATTTTCCCCTGCAGGTACTGAGGATAGAACAGAGGCTATTAAGCAGCAGCAGCAGCCGCAACAGGGCAGCACTAGTTCAGAGCCAGTTCATGTAGATAGAATAGTTGAGTTATTTGAGTCTTTAAAGGAACATCCACATGATCAAAATGAAACAGCTACTATTGTCCACGTAGTTACTGTAGAGGTTGATGATGATGATGATGAGTTGGAGGAGAATCAACACAACAAAGATATGGCCACTTCTGGTGACTATTTGCAGCAAAATGTGCCAAGACAGATCCCACAAGAGACTTAATTAAGAACATATATGTATGTATGTTCAGAAGTGGCTAGTTTATAAACTTTGTTTTTTACTGAGTTGCAGCTTATGATAGATGTTCTTTTGTCTTTCATTTCTTAGTTGTTTTAGCACTGTACATTTACTTTTTGGTGAATGTGTTAGTCATTTTACTTCCTACTTCTTTAGGTTTCTACTGTATGTACATATTTGGTGCTGTTTTTTAAACATGTTTTTAGTGCAAGGATTTTGTTTGGTCTATACATCTATGACTATGAGCAGGCGTTCACAGAGATGACTTTCGAGTTGCATTCGAACTCGTGATTTATAAGTCATACAAAGACAATTTAGCTTCAAGTTTCTTTTTAAACCTATTTTATATTATTTGAAAAAAAATCCCCAGAATATAGCTAAACATTTTTAGATACAAGCACAGAGTATTATCCATGAGTTTATAATTTTTCAATTTGGAAACAAAATCTGAACTTTCTTGTTTGGACTAAATTGGTAATGTCTTGTCATTTTAAATGAATATTTTAATTATAAGTAACATTACACATTAAAAAGGGTAAAAGTTGTCGGATAGTTAAAAAAAAAAAAAAGTTCCCAATGATTGAAAAAGTTGATGAGACTGATGGTTGGCTGGATTTTTCTGAAGTGGCAGCTTCCAAAAACTTTAATAGGAGTAGCAATTTCAACTCTGCCACGTGAAGCTTATCTAGGTAGTTTTTGTTTAAGATCGAAATTTGATTAAATTTGGATTCGCGCTAGGAAGTTTCATTAAAGATAAAATGTCCTCTGATAAAGGTAATTTCGTATTTTAAAGGACTTGAATTTGAGACTTTTTATAACATAGTACTTATCACTTCACCACGGATAGCTCGTCTAAGAGTTCCTCGTAGGTTTCTTTATAAATAATTACTTTGATTCATCGTTGATTTTCAACAGTATCTTTTTGTAGTATTCTCAAAAATTAGACAAGACTATTTGGACCATATATAAAAGGAAGTTTAAAGATTAATGTTCCAATTATAATAGTTTCAGTAACTATCACCAAATGTTGCCGTATCATAAAATATGATACTCTTGATGAGAAAATTTAGATTTGCGTTCTAAAAATGAAAATAAATCTAATAAGTAACGTTTCTCTTTTAATAGGTATTATGTTGATAAAAAACTAAATTTGATAAGTCTTATACGACACAAACATATTAGTGTGACCTAACTTAAAATCTTAAAAATAAAACAATTCGTTGCCTTATGTGGAGCGAATTCAAAATAAGTGAACCTAATTGTAGACATAAACTAAAAAAGGAAAAAAATTGCATATCCTCATGAAATGTTACTTCAATTTCAAAAAATTCCGAAACATAATTACATTTTGTATCAAATATACATGTGCTAATACAATTCTTTAGCGCGATCATGCCTGATAGCCTCTTCATACAACACTTTTGATAACCCGCGTCATATAATTTTTTCACTACACTTTCATATTGCTTGTGATATAACTCTTTAGCATGTACAATTATACCTCCAATACAATTCTTCCACCTGATACAACAATTATAACTATGTTTGGCTAAAATACATAAATTGTAATTATAGCTATTTGTCAAATTTTCTCATAAATCATGAGATAAATAAGCTCACCTATTGTCAAAATCATGACCTAAGTAGGCTCACCTATAGTTGGAAGTTTTAAATAGGTGACGTGCAGAGAAAAAGTTGTATAGATATTAATTGCTCATATTAAAATGCCATAGTTGACTAGTTGTACAGGCAAAGAACCAATTGAAAAACAACAACAGGACCCATTATTATTCATTATATTCTTATATATTGTACGAGGAATACATAAACAGAAAAAAAAAAAATCATGGCTGGTGGAATAGAACATAATCCAGAGACCCCATTACTGCCGGCAACATTTTCTGGCTCTTCTGATTCAAATGGTATCTTGATTTTTCTTAAAAATTCTATCTTGATGACCTTTTTGTAGTAAATGGTATCTTGATTTTTCTTAAAAATTCTGTCTTGATGACTTTGTATAGCAAAATGTTGTGTTGATTTTGTTAAAGATTCTATCTTTTTTAATAGGGGTAGTAAATGGTGTCTTTGATTTTTGTTAAAAATTCCATCTTTATGACTTGGTGTAGCAAAATGGTATCTTGATTTTTGCTCAAACTTCTGTCTTTCTGACTTGGTGTATTTGGCTTGATTTCTTTTTGAATAAGTGTAGTAAATGATGTCTTTATTTTTTTTTCAAAATTCCATCTTTATGTTTGCTCAGATGGTAAGCACAAAAATTTCTTCCTCTATTCCATATTAACTAGGTTTTAGTTCAAAATTAATGTTTGAATTTTTTTCCATATTTGTCCTTTCCTTTAATAAAGTTTGATTATTTCTAGGAGATAAATTGAACTACTTGCAAAGTTATATTTATGATTTCACAAAGTACAATGGTGGAAAATATGGTTTAAATTATGTCGTTGAATGTTTTTCTTAATAAGTCTGCATTGCCGGACAAATTCAGTTAATATGGAATAGAGGGAGTATGACTTGGTGTAGCAAAATGGTATCTTGATTTTTGTTAAAAGTTGCATCTTGATGACTTTATGTAGCAAAATGTTGTCTTGATTTTTTTAAAGATTCTATCTTTTTGAATAGATGTAGTAAATGGTGCCTTGATTTTTGATTAAAATTCCATCTTTATTACTTGGTGTAGCAAAATAATATCTTGATTTTGCCTCAAACTTCTGTCTTTCTGACTTGGTGTAGCGAAATGTCGTCTTGATTTTGTTAAAGATTCTATCTTTTTGAATAGGTGTAGTAAATGGGGTCTTGATTTTGTTAAAGATACTATCTTTATGACTTGGGGTTGTTAGTTTGCTAGTACTAATTTGGGTTTTGGTTCATTTTTTTTAGTTGTATACTCAGATATTGAGAAAAAGGGTACAATATGGACTGCAGCGGCACATATTATAACAGGGGTTATAGGGGCAGGGGTACTATCACTTTCATGGAGTATAGCACAATTAGGATGGATAGCTGGTCCATTGGCTATTCTATTCTTTGCAGTAGTGATGCTATTTGCAACTACCATACTTTGTGATTGCTATAAGTCTCCAGATTCTGTGCTTGGCCCTACCACAAATCACTCTTTATTGGAAGCTGCAGGATTTTACTTTAGTAAGTTACTCTTCACTGTATATCTTTTACCTTCTTATTATTGTCTTGTAGTGTTCAGGCCTAGTGGCAGAGCCAGCTAGGGCCGAGGAGGTTCATCTGTACCCCTTCAGCGGAAATTACACTGTTTATACTTTATACATGGTTAACATTATTTTTATGTATATACATGTTTTGGAATCATTTGGTGAAAATCCTGGCTCCGCCACTAAATCGGGCTAATTTATCCACCTCGGCTATTTGATCGGTACCTGCTACCTACCACTATTACATATGTTGGATAACTCTATCACCAAGATTTAGGCAGAAGAGAGAAATCACTCTGTTGGGATTTGATTTACCTTCTTATAAAACTTTGTTGTTATCATCTTTGTCATCAATTATTTTGCATATGAAAGTTGGATGACTTTAGGAGAGAAGGCTGAACAGTTTATGTGTAGCTATTGTGACTGAGAGTTTGCATCCCTGGAAATAGATAGGAAAAATAAAAAAAAGTCTACTAAGAAGAACAGAAAATATAAATATAATCATGTTACTGTGAACTCATGTGGCTTTAAGAAATTGATAGTTACTGTATCACAATTGAAACAATGTAAAGATTGTGGAATATTTGACATACTCTAAATTTTTGTTGACCTTATTGTGACATTACAAGTTTTCATGAAGGCTTGACAGTCTAGTGGTCCCATGGTCTAGTGATCAGAACATTGGATTCTGAATCCAGTAACCCGAGTTCAAATCTCGGTGGGGACCTTTAGTTTTGGGTCAATCGGAAACGACCTCTACCCCAGAAAGGTATGAGTAAGGTCTGCCTACATCCTACCCTCCCTAGACCCCACTAGTGGGATTACACTGAGTGTGTTGTTGGTGTTACTTGGCAGTCCGAGTCACATCGACCGAATTTGTGATTTTCCATTGATTTTAATATTTTTTTTTCATACTAGAATCCAAAAAACCCAAACATTGATTTGAACCTAAGTTTGGCTTGACCTGTTAGGCCTTGAAAAAGACATGCACATGGAGTGTGTGAATGTAAATATGTTATGTACAGATCTGGCCATACTGACAAGATCCAAAATGGGTAAAAGTTATTGGACTCTATGTTTAAATAGTCACCCCCCTTTTGAAATGTCTATCTCATTGGTAGGTTCAATTTGGACTGTTGCTTTTATAATTATATGGCAAGAAGATATATTTTCTTCAAAATTTGTATCTATTTGCAGTTAAAGGGTAGAATTACAGCAAAAGAGCTACAACCAAACATTTCTTTATAGTGGAAGTTCCATCATTGTTGACTAAATTTGTGGCTAACTCCAACAAAGACATTCTTTCCCTCTATCCTTTTCATTAATATGATGACTTATGAGAACTTAGCACTACTACATGGTACTATTTAGTATATAGTGCTGTTGTTGTGAAGGGAGGAGTATTAGAAAATTACGTCTTTGAACGTTTTTACTAATAGGTGAAGGCTTTATACAGCTCATGTTTTATGTAGTATCTATTAAGCCACCTGCATATTTTCAAAGAGTTGCTTTGAGGTTTTTAGTTTCCGTTGTCTAAGAATATATCGAACGGAGATGGAAGCTCAACGTTCTCTAGAACAAGAGAAAACTTCAGGCAAAGAGGATGAAGATACAATTAGAACAGGTAAGCTTAAAGTTGTCTCAAAATTTTCTACAGGGCCTGAGTTTTAACATTGACTAGGATTAAATCTAAGAAACAATAGTCGATATGTATTTTCCTGCCAGGAACTTTGTGGACTGCAGTTGCGCACATAATTTCAGCTGTAATCGGAGCTGGTGTTCTCTCTCTAGCCTGGTGCACAGCACAATTAGGATGGATTGCAGGGCCAATCACCATGCTTTGTTTTGCAGTTGTTACATACATATCTGCATCTCTCATATGTGATTGTTACAGGTCACCTGATCCCATAACAGGAACGCGAAATCCCTCTTACATTGATGCCGTTAGAGTTAATCTTGGTAGATTGTTCCATCCTATAACATAGAATTATCTTAGAAACTCTTTTAGAATTTTCTCATATGAGGATTCCTCTTTTACATTATATTGGGGGGAGGGGATTAGACGCGTCTTTTATGTATTTTGACTTATACTCGTTCAGGCAAGAAATGGACGTGGTTGTGTGGTTTGCTTCAGTATGTGAGCTTCTATGGGACTGGTATTGCTTATGTAATTACAAGTGCAACAAGTATGAGGTTAGTTAGCTATATACATACATATACAGTTCAGATTTTTACCTCTCTGAATTCGTGAGTGTCTCGATAGCAATAGCCACGACATTTTTCTTTGCTCATTTGGTCGGGTTATCCGATAACATTATATCCATTATAGTGATGCCTAGCCTTCAAGAGACAGTGTATGCAATTCAAGCTGAATGAGATATGCTTCTGTTAAGTTATTAATCCGACCGACAATTTTTGCAGAGAAATTCAGAGATCAAATTGTTACCACAAAGGAGGAGAAGAAGCTGTTTGCCAGACTGGGACAAACAACTTCATGCTGATTTTTGGCATTATTCAGATAGTAACGTCGCAGATACCAAATTTTCATAACATGGCGTGGTTGTCCGTTGTTGCTGCGTTAATGTCATTTTGCTACTCTTTCATCGGATTGGGCCTTGGATTTTCTAAAGTGATTGGTAAAGCCTTGACTGTTCTTTTTCTCATTCTGTTTCTTGTTTTTTCATCTCGATTTCCAAAAATATATTGAAGAATCTTGTGTATTTTTATCTTAGTTCCAATCATGGAGAAAGCATTTTCTTTGCTCATTTCCCCATTGATGTTGGGTCTGCAGAAAATAGGGGTATCAAGGGAAGCATTGTGGGAGTACCAACAAGGAGTGCTGCTCAGAAGATTTGGTTAGTTTTCCAGGCACTCGGAGACATTGCTTTTGCCTATCCTTATTCGATTATTCTCCTCGAGATACAGGTATTATGTAATGATATTCCACAAACTATACAAGTTTTAACTTCTGGCATTTCTTAATATATCATAGTGAGATATAAATAGATCCAGCTCTTAGAATTTGTCCTGATACTAGATCATTGCATATTGATTTATATAGTAGACCTCGACTTGTTTGGAACCGAGTCATAATTTTCAAGATTAATTCGGAGCATAAATATCAACTTAGCTAATGTTTCTGAAACCAAACAAGACATAATACTAACACTCTGAGTTGGAATAGTTACACTAAAAGTATCACAGAAGACGCTGATGTTTCTCCTTATATTAAAGCTGTTCTTTTTTATGGAGTGAAGGATACACTAAAATCGCCTCCACCAGAAAACCAGACCATGAAGAAGGCGTCAATAAGCGCAATAGTTATCACCACTTTCTTCTATCTATGCTGTAGTTGCTTTGGATATGCAGCCTTTGGGAACGACACACCAGGGAACCTCTTGACAGGTTTCTACGAGCCGTTTTGGCTTGTTGATTTTGCCAATGCCTGCATAGTCCTTCATCTGGTTGGAGGGTATCAGGTAGTACTTAAATTCAAGTCTTTTCCTTCCACCCTTTACTTGGTTTATGAAAATTCTAACCTTAACACGAACAAAATGCTCGTTTTCTCTTAGGTATACAGCCAGCCAGTATTCGCATTTGTTGAAAAATGGGCTACTCAGAAGTACCCTGAGAGCAGATTCATAAATAAATTCTACGCCATCAAACTCCAGGTGTTGCCAGCTCTCCAGTTGAACCTCTTCCGGTTATGTTTTCGAACTCTATATGTTATATCTACAACCGCAATAGCAATGGCATTTCCATATTTCAACCAGGTATTAGGAATCTTAGGAGCATTGAACTTTTGGCCTATGACCATATATTTTCCAGTGGAAATGTACATTGTGCAAAGAAAAATTGGAGCTTGGACAAGAAAATGGATACTTCTTGAAGGTTTCAGTATGGTTTGCTTGATTGTATCTTTACTGGGCTTGATTGGATCAATTGAGGGAATAGTTAGTGCTAAATTAGCTTAAATTGTAAGATCTTACTATTGAATAGTAGCTAGTAAGATTTATAAGCCAAAAGACGCTGTATTCATCCCATTCTTCAAATGGAATTTACAAATCTCATTTAGTAACTTAAAGTACATAAGTCTTTGTTTTTTAATATGCTTTATTTGAACTGAGAGTATATTAGAAACAACTTCTCTACCATAAAGGTAGGAGTAAGTCTACGTTAAACACCATCCTCTCTGGACTTCATTTGATTTTTTTTATGTTTTTAGGTAAAGTATGTTCAAACAACTATATATTACTTGCAAAAACTATAATCAAATACAAGTCGAGTTTCAAAATTTTCAAATAAAGCAAAAATATTTATAATAACATATAGTAGCTCGTATATGTGATCTATTGTATGACATTATATGATTATTTATTTTGAGATATTACTCTTTTAAAACATATTTGATTGTATGTTTTAGGTAAATTAGTCAAGTTTAGTGATTTTGCTAGCTTCTAAAAATTGAGGGTATAAATCATAATTAGAAAAAATAAATATAAAATTCTAAATATTGTTACTTCAACGCTAAAAATTCCAAACAAAGAAGAATATTTAATTTTCATGATCATTTAGTAATTCATTTTTTTGACGTTTCAAAGATGTTGAAAGGCACCAATGTTTTCTATCATACAAAAAGTTGTGGTCCTTCCTTTTCAATTTAGAAAAATATCCTACTCCACTATAGGTTAGATAGAAATACGAATATTAAATAATTTCAAAATAAATAAATATGTGTCAATTTCTTTGAAATATTAAAAAGGAGTAATCGCATTTTTGTCCCCTCAATCATTAGTAAATTCCAAGTTTGATCCTTATAATACATCATAAACATATTTAGTCTTTCAAAATATGCACCTTTAGTCTCATGGCTAGTAAATATTTACAAAATTATAACAACCATTTAATTGTTCATGTATTGTACTAAGCTTATAACGTTACTTCGTATGCTACGGTAACAAAATTCTAAATATAATCTCAATATAACATACTTTCTTCCAATATAAGAGGACTAAACATAAACATTTTAGTTAATTACTCCCTCCATTTCATTTTATTTGCTTTGTTTTTATTTTTAATTCATTTTAAAAAAAAAACTATTTTTTTCCTGATAATTCTTTAATTCTAACTTTCTACGTGATATGTTTAAGACCATGGGATTAAAAGATTTTTGATATATTTTACTTAATTTATTTTTAAAACCATATGACTTAAAAATTGTCTTTTACTTGCCTAAACTCTATATCACGTCAAAATCAATAAACAAATTAAAACAGAAAGAATTTTGAACTAAAAAATAGTATTATCTCTATTTAAACAGTAGTAGTATCAGACAATTTTTTGTAGAAAGAACTTTCCATTAAATTTGGAATATTCAGAAATAGACTCAGATAGCTGGGGGCTATGGGGTTGGATGAAGAAAGTGACTCTCAAATGCCATTTTTGGACCCAAATTATGTTTCTTCTTCTTCTTCTTCT